GTGGGGTACGTGGGGCACCCCCCGCGCGGGCCACCCTCGCCCGGTACATTCCCAGTCACCTCCGTTCCGGGGTATTCCCAGAGCTCATCTGCTTCTTTGCCCCAGCCAAGCCCCCCAGGTCGGGGCTCTTCACCTCCAAAGCACCCCCAGGCCTTTGGGATGAAGGTCGCTCTCGAGCTTATGCCCCTCTCACTCTTCCCCAATTATTCGGTGAGCTCAGCACTCTGCTAAGGGGGCTGGGGGGCTCTGCTCCACTTGACATTGCACCCCCCCTCTCCATGAGATGTTAAAGGTAATGCCATCCCCCAAACTTTCGGAGACCCAAACTGGGAGAAATAAAATAAACCCTCACCAACTCACCCACCCCAGGGAGTCATGGGTGCCCACCTGTCCTCCAAAGCCTGGGGTCACCCAGGGTCCCCCCAAAGGTTTAGCTCCTCCATCCCCTCCCAGCCCCAAGGAGAGATGGGTGGGAGATGGGGGTCCTGGGCTACCCCACTGCTTCACTTCCACTCCAGAGCCCCACGACAACATCTGACCTGAGTAAGACTGGAGAAAGGGGACCAGTGAGCTGGAGGGGGCCCTTGGGTTGAGGAGGTACACCCACACACGCCCCACACTCCACACTGCCATGCAAATCCTGACCCAGCTCTGCTCTCCCATCTTACCTCCGCTTCCCCAGGACCATCCTCAACCATTGCCCCCAGCCTGCCCTGCAGGTGCTCACATCTGCACTGACAGCACTCAGGGGTGCTCTCTGGGAGAGCAGGTGCACCCCGGAAACCCAGGGCTGGGTGTGTACCGCCTGCCTGCTCCGGCCCCTCATTATGGCTCAGGTTAAAACTATGCCCAGCACGGAGGCTGCTAATAACCCGTGTGCCAGGGCCGGGGCAGGATGCTGGGTGCAGCACGGATGTCCTCGGGGGGGCACCCCCTGGCCAGGGTACCCCCCCCAGCCCCAGGGTCCTCCAGCCAGAGAGACAGAAAAGGCACTCACATTTATTCTTTAATAAAAATAGGAAGGGAAAAAACATTGAAGGGATTAGACCAAGATCCAGCTGTGGACTCATCCTACCAAGGCAAGGACTGGCCAGGTCACAGTATTTGCTGCCTGCAGCCCAGAAGGCAGGGGGGTGGCAGCTACCCCAACACAGCAGAGCAAGGCAGGGCTGCTCTCTGTGAGGTTTTATTGCTGGTGATGCCCGGAGAATGGGGCTTGGGAGACCCTGAGCAAAGGGAGCCAGGTCAGGTGCCAGCCGAGGGGGCAGAGCTGGAGACTGCCACATCGCACCCGCTCCCACCATGTCCCACCAAGAGCACACAATTCCAGGGCATGAGCCATCCACATCTCTCACACTTCATCATCTTTCCCTCACTGACTCCATCCCAGCCAGGACCTCAGACCCCACTCATGATGGGGGTTTTTCCAGTATGTGTCCCCCTACACAGCTGCCCCCCTCAGTCCCTCCCACTTAGCAACAACTCATGATTTCGGCTCCATTTTATCCACAATGTAACGACCTGTCAGAGGTTCAGAGATACCCAAGTCCCTGGGCCAGAGGTGATCCCCACCATCATCCAGCCTAGGCTGACTCCATTCCCACCGTGCTCCCAGCACTTAGCACCAGTATGGAGCAGCCAGTGTTTGTCAAAGCACCTTCCCCAGGTCACTCTTTTCTAGGATTAGCCCACTCCTCCTCTCACAGTGGTACTCAGAGACACTGTGCTGGTGGCCAAGAGGTTGGTTCAGGCAGGAAGAGGGGCCACAGTGGCACGTGGCTGCTGCTCCCAGGGAGAGGAGCTGGCATACTCCAGCCCTGTGCTGCCAGCACTAGTCCCCATCCCTCCAGACGAACAGAGGAAGAGACCTGATGGGCTCATGGCTTCTTGGAGGCTCCTACGCCTCCCTCCAGAGCTTTCTTGGCTAAAAGCTCCTTCTCCTCCTTCACCTTCTTCAGCCTGGACTTGCTTTTGGAGGATGAGAAAGTGAGCGAGGTCTTGCTGAACTCCAGAGGGAAGATGCCCACGTCCCCATCAAAGCGATTCTTGGACACCTGCAGGAAGCGCTTCCCGGGCCCTGATGTCAGCTTACGCTCCTGCAGGATGAGGACATTGTCGGCCTCCTGGCTGGCCTGGGGAGAAGAAAACATCTCCAGGAGAGTGCCAGGGATACAGCCAGAATCACAGGGCTCAGAGTTGCTCACAGACAGCCTGCCCAGCTCTTTCGAGCCCTGTTATGGGGCACCCCAGGCCACAGCAACTCCAGCACTTCCCCAAAACCAACCCCTTGTGTTCCTCCGGGACATCCCAGTGTCCCACGAGGCAGACAGGCTTGAGCTGAAGCCACAGGACATCTTGGGGAAATGGGAACACACGAGGGCCGTGCACAGACAGCACCTCCTGCCCACCACTGCAGGTTGTTCAGCATCACGGAAGAGACCAGAGTACTCAGAGAGCCCATCCCTGCACCCTCCCTGCCTCGTTCTTTAATTATCTTCTAGTACATCCCACTCACAGTCAATGACTATTAATTAACTCCACCTAAAGCCCCAACAGAGCTTTAGCTGGCAATGGGTTTGCTCCCTGCCTGCATGAGGACTCCTGGGGACATCCCATCCCTTGCAGCTCTTTTCAAGTCCCCAGTGATGACTCAGGGTGCTGATGGAAGCCGGGAACAACTGCCCAAAGTATCCCAGCCCCTCCTGGGAACACACTGGCCCAGCTCACCTTGGCAGAGCCAAAGATGGAGGCTGTCTGCAGCTCCTTCTCATCATCCTCCTTGCGGGGATGGATGACCAGGGTGATGTGGCAGTTGTTGTCCGTGGCAAACTTGCGGAAGGCACCAACAACGTAGTCCTGGGCAATGAGCCTGCCACAGCAGCAAGAACAGGGTTAGGGGCTGGTACTGCTTGGTGGTGGGGTGCAGCAAGGTCCTCATCCCCACAGCAGGAAGCACCCAGGAATGTGGGATCACTCTCTGTGAGACAGCCGAGCCCACATAGGCAAAGGGATGTGGCACAGCAGGGATGGCTAGTAACCTGCTCACCCTTTCCCATCTCTTCCTCCCTAGGGCAGTGATCACCCTTTAAAGAAACAGGGTGGCCAGACAGTAGTAAAGGAAACACCCTGAGTGGGTCCCCAGCCCCTATCATGACACCTGACAGGGACAGCTCCAGAGGTGAGGGTGGCAGAGGAATGAGAGGTCAGACTGGAGAAGGGCTACCTGTCCACAGAGAGGTGGTCCTGTCCCATCATGAACTGGAGGTTGTCGATGATCACGTGGGTGATGTCATACATGTAGACAGCATGCTGCATGGTGCCAATCACCGTCCTGGACAGAGGAGACCAGGATCAGCCCCAGGGATCAGCAGAGGTGGAGATGCTGAACCAGGCACAGAGACACAGAGAAACAGAGCTGGGAGGTACCAGGCTGGGTCCTGATGAGCGCTGAGCCCATCCCACCTCTGCATCTTCCCCATTGCAGGACAGGCAAAGCCCCATCCACACAAGTAAAGTTGGGATCAGGAGCCGCTGCCCACACAGTCCCTGCCCACTGCCCTGCAATCCCCCCAGCCCACAGAGACCCTAAGAGCACACGAGGATGTGTGAAGGTGCCACAGCACCTGATGAACAGAAGGAGCTGGAGGTGCCTGTCCTACCTCTTCAGCAAAGGACAGTGCTACCAGGTGAGCAGGGTGTGGAGGGTCATGTCCTAGCACAGGGACACATATCCTCCTTTCACCCCCACCCCAGAGGGAGGCTGTGACAGTTTCCACAATAGGAGGAATGCAGCTGATTGAGCCATGAGGTCCCCACAAGCCAACTCCAGGACTTGAACAGTCCCAACATGCCTCCTGCCAGCCCCAAATCTGTGACTCACTGAAGGGGAAGAGCCCCAGTTCCCAAAGGCCCTGCAGCACATGCCGTGAGGGGTAAATGCCACTGGGGATGGAGGTGCAGGACCATACTTGATGTTCTGCTGGCCATGGAAGGTCATGAAGTAGAGTGGGAGGTCCTCAAAGCGATCGGCCCACTCATCATACAGCTCCAGCTGGTCCTCCAGGCGCCGACCCGCAAACTGTGTCAGCATGATCTTGGCCAGGCGGACGTTGTTGATCTCAAAGCTGCCCCACAGCGTGCACACTCCCTGCATGCACAGGTCCAGCGCGTACTCACTGATAAAGGTGGTCTTCCCGCTGCCCGTTGGGCCTGGTGCAAGAACAGAAACAGAAGGAATTAGCTGGGGAGATGATCCTACCCATCCTGAACGTGCTGGTAGGCTGTTGAGAGGTGGAAGTGCCAGGGAGCGGGATAAGAGAGGCCCATCCACAGTACTCACATCATAAATAAACAACGTCTCATGCCACACTGCACGCCTGGGTGCATGGACATTGCCTCCCACAGCCTGTGGGTCCCTGGGAAGGGCTGGACAGCCGGTGGGGTGGGCACAGGGAGGGCTCAGACAGGAGGTGGCAGGCGGGAGCAGGCGTAAGGGACAGTCCAGGACTTCCTGTGCTGCCCCAGGCAGGGAGCCCATCACCACATTGGCATGACCAGTCCCACCGCACTGAGGAATGCACCCCAGCCTCTCACGCTCCTGCGAGACAGGAGTCTCATGGAAGACGCATGAGGCATCAACCCCAGAAGGGTGAAGCCACCAAAGAGCCTTCTGCTCCCCTTGTCCACCAGCCACTGTGCCCCCTACCTGTGAAGACGGTAAGCTCCCCTCTGCGGTGCCCTTTGAGGAGCTTGTTGAGCTCGGGGAAGCGCACCCACTTGATGCCAGCCACCTGCTCGGTGTTGGCTAGCTCCCCAAACACTTCCTCACGCAGCTGCCGGAAGGAGATGATGGATTTGTGGCTGGCGGGCAGGGCAGCACGCAGGATCTTGGTGAAGTTCAGGCCCTGGTTCAGAGCTTCCAAGGGCCGGGGCTGCAGGTTCCCAGGGCGCACCAGGGAGCAGCGCTTGAGGCTCAGCTTGCGGGCAAAGAGCTTGGCAGCTTCCCAGGAGCGCAGGTCCTCACCGAGCCACAGGGTGATGCGCTTGAACTGCTCCAGGTAGGGGAGGAGGGCGGGAGGCAGGCAGGTGGTCCCCCGCGGCAGGGCCAGGCTGGCCACCCCTGCTTGGTGCAAGGCCAGGGCATCCAGCTCCCACCCAGTTAAGACCAGCTCTGTGTCTCGGCAGCCGATCAGGGGCAGCCCAAAAAGATTGTGATAGGAATCGATGCGGGGTAAAGTCTCTTCCAAGTAAGCTCTTGTGTTCCCCTTTTTCTCCACCCTCACAAGCTTCAGGCCTTTCAGGGTTGCATTGCGGGGACTGAACCAGGGGAAGACCAGGGACTTGGCAGTCCTCAGATAACGCACCCCAAAGCGTTTCAGGGTAGCATTTGACACCAGGGAGATACCGAACATGGCCTTGGTCTTGTTGGTCTCCTCCTCATCCAGCAGCTCCCAGAGCGGCAGAGCCCGGTCCCAGATGCAGCGGGCATCTTCGCTAGCCTGTCGCATGTCCTCCTCCATCTCCTCCGAGCTGGCGGGGGGAATACCACGGTGCTGCAGCTCCACGTTGGCCTGGAAGTCCTGCCAGGTGCCCTCGGCCAGAGTGGCCGTGCACAGGAAGCTGCCCGTGGTCTTGTCAATGAAAAGCGTGTACGGGGCACTGCCG